AGATGAGATAGAGGAATTTTGTAATTTTTTTGAATAATAGAAAACTTTAGAAACTATAATAAAATAAGATATTAATCTGGATAATTTTTTTAACTTGAAATTGAAAAAAATAATTAATTATGTTAAACCCGTGAACGGTTTATCTAGTTTTAAATTTACGAGAGTGAAATCGCCACTTGCATCCAAATTTACGTCTATCATGCAGTATCGAATCTCTCAGACCTATAATAGAGTGGGGGAAAATATTTCTTGGGGGAATCAAATTAAATAATTTTATCGATAAAAAGTTAAAAATTAAAATATTTAATTAAATGCTATATATTTCTTTAATTTGGTTATATAGGGACATTCAAGATTTATTAATATGGTCTGAATTTAACTAATTTATCCATTTAGATTCTTATTATTAATGTTCATTATGTTGAAGAAAATGACTCAAACTAATAGCCAAAGCAAATTCTAAAAGAATGTAGCCGAATTGAAATTAAAAGACATTCTAGTTTATAACTAATATTCCTTATGCCCAAACATTTTTGTAATTAATAGTAATTAAATCTCTTTTATTTTTAATTATAAAGTTTATACCATATAAATGTTTAAGATTTTGTTTAACATCATAAATCTAAAAGAACACTTTTTTTTCGTAAACTTTGTGCATATAACTAAACGGTATCGTACAAATCAGGACGTCGAAAACAATAATAAAGTGATATATGTTTGTAATAATGAAAAACCATATATCGATTATTTGATTTTACATTAATATAATCTGATTTAAATTTAGAGAAGATGAGTGAATTATTATGAAAGTTGTTATCCTTAATATAATTTTGACGGGCTCAAATTTTTTTGAATTTTTTTAACTATTAAATTCATTATATTTTAAAAATTATGAATTATTTTTTATTATATACTTTCATATATTTATTTGCAAAAAAAAGTTTGGAATAATTCATAATCATAGGAGTTAAATTATGATCTTTTATTTATAGAAAAACGTCTAGCAACTACCATTCAAAAGTTTATAAATTAAAACTATTTTATATTTAGAAATTTCGTAACCCTGCCTTTTTTTAAAAACAAATAAAAAATAATAATTAATCAGTATGTATAGTATTGATTTTTTTAAAAAGATAATCAAAACATTGCTTGCTTAAGCATCTAACAGTAATTAAATGGAAATCACTCAAACACATGATATTTTGTAAATTGATTTGCATGAAAATTTGTAACGACCTGTTTAGTCGTTTTGAGCAGCAGATTTTAATTCTGGAAAAGATGTCTTGGTCGACGGACCCCACGACGGACCGTCGTAGGCACGACGGACCGTCGAGGGTGTCTCGTTCCAAAATATTTGGAATTCTGAAAATTGGGTACTGAAATCGACTCTCTGAACTTCGTGACGAAGTGGCAGGACGGACCGTCACAGGCATGACGGGCCGTCACAGACTCTTCAGTAAATTTCAGTCTCTGAACTCTGTGACGGAAGCAGCAGGACGGACCATCGCAGTCACGACGGCCCGTCACAGGCTGCGTAATCCCAGGCTGGGTCGGATTTCTGTAATTATTTTAAGGGGCGTTTTGGACTATTCCGGCTTATAATTATAAAGTTAGTGGTTTAATATTAATAACTCAATTACTTGGGGGTTAAAAGAGGTAACCTTGAGTTAGTTAGTGGGTTAAACTCATCATCTTTCATACTTAATTATATGCTAATTAGGGTAAAAGAAAGAGGGTTTGAATAAGAAAAAGAAAAGAACAGAAAGAGAGGGAGAAACGATCTCGAGAGAGAGAGGGAAACGAAGAGGAAAGCAAAGATCTTGAGGAAATTGCTTGCTTGATCACGAATCTTCGGTGGAGGTAGGTTATGGTTTTTATACTATTCGTAGTTAACTCTTAATAGCGAATGATATGTGTTGAGTTGTATTGTAAAGTCGTCCATATGCTTAATTGTATGCTTGCATGAATGTGATTATATAATTGTGATGAAATAAGCATGATGAACCTATTGAATCCCAAATCTTGAAAACCCCTTGAGATTGATGATGCCTTGGTATAAAAGAAGGCTTGATGAATTAATAGAATGAGATTA